TTTAGAAAATACTCCGAGTTAACGTGTTCGTTCGTTCGTTTGCAATGATGTGTAATAAATCCACTCGGAATACTTTTAATCACTCATAAATTAATTTATTTTTTATTGATTAAGTCGATTATTTACACATTTCGGGAAGATCATGTAATTTGCCTCAAGGGAAAATACCAGTACCAACTGGTTTTCTTTCTTGAATTATAAATGATCATTATGATTGTTATTATTGTCAATATTTGATTTATATAAATTATGATTAACCATATGATTTAGAATTTTATTCCTCGGTGTATATAAATGTATATTAGTGTAAATTTTGAATTCTAATTTAAGAACAGGTTAATAATTTTATTTTATTGTATTCATTAAAATTCGTTGATTTCGTATAAGCATCTTTAAGATTTTGTTCAGCGATTTTTCATATTTTTTTATATCAGCTTATAAATGCCATTTCTTTTGGAAAGTTTATATGATTACTTTGAAGTGATTTATCAATATTTTTTTAAATCATCAATTTTTCATTTGAAAATCAGGGCTGGCGGAAGGCGGGGTCTGCTAGGTCTGCAAAGCCTTAGGGCATTATATAAATATGTTGACGAGTGCATATAAATATGTCTGAAAAAAATTACTCTGTGTTGTAATTACTCTGTATTAATATTGATTAAATAACTTAATAATTTTTTAACTTCCGTAGGGTAAGTTATATATAGTAATCGCGAAAATGTCGCGAGTGAAAACTTTTATATATCTTTACGTTTCAGAGGTTTCTGAATTTTGGCATATCTTAGAAAAAATGGATGTGTTTGTGTGTTTAGATACAAACTTTCGTCGATGATTGTAAGAACACGCATCAACCTATTTGAACAAAACATTCAATTCGTAATGATAAAACGTGCTAATCAGTTTTTGGCAAAACGGGTCCAGCCGTTTCAAAGATACGGGGTCTCCAAAACAGCTGCGCAGCGCGATTGATTTGAAAAAAAGTTACAAATTTTCAAAAAATTTCAAAATATAAAAAAAAATTTTCAAAAAAAGCAATTTTTTTCAAATTTTTCGAAATTTTCAAAAATATATTTATTTCAGATTTCAAAAATTTTTAATCTTTTTTAAAAATTTCATGTTTCGGTACGGAAAGTGCCAGCAATTTGCCTTAAGGCACGATGCCATGCACCACTAGTTTATTTATATTAATTTATGAAAACTACTATTTGACTGACTTATAATTGAAAGGGCGGCAATCTGGAGACCGCCCCGGGCGGCAAAAGTTCTAGGTACGCCACTGGCGACAGCCTAATGGATATCGACAAAGATCGACTATGCTAGATAATATAATAAGAGAAAAAAAATTATAATTAATAAGTAAGAAAAATTATATTTAATAAGTAAGCTATGACATGTCGGGAGGGAGAGTAGGTTATTTGTATAGAAGAGTTAAGAGATTTGTATAAAAGAGGAAGAGTGGTGATTAGAAATAATCACGAAAGTAAAAGTAATGTGTGATGTTTTTCAAATTGAGCGAGCAATGCAAATTGTGTATAATAGCAAGTGAGTGCATTGTAATATGTACGAGGGAAATAGTTTGGTATAATTGACAGAGAACAAGCAGTGTAGGTACTTCCCAGATTGATAAAATAATGCTAGAAAGAGATATAGAAAGTAGTCAATATTACTATAGCTAAGATAGATATATGAAAATCTCTGATAAATAAAGAAAAGCGAGTAATGTGCAATATACACACGAAAGAAAGTGAGTGATATGTAATGCGCATAAGTTGTAATAAGTAATGTAAGAGAAAGCGACTGATGTGTGGTATATACGAGAGAAATTGTTATAGTTGAAAGATGAATATTAAAAAATATCTCCCGATTAGATGCAATCACTTCAACATATAAGAAAAGAATTCGAAATTAATAAGGGGCCAATTCTAGAATAATCTAAAAACGTTACGGTAATGCTATGTTACGAGTCTATATTTGTACGAGGAGGTAGTAACAAACTGTCAAAACGCTATATATTTGTTGTGCGATCATGCATATAATATAAACCCATCTTCAGTATGTGTTATCAAAGAGACATCAGGAAGTTGCACTTATGACAAAATTATTGTTTGATGTTTGTGCGTTTTGTAGGTTAGGTTTAATGTGTACAACGCCAGATCGTGCAGCAAATACATAATTTTTTGACAGTTTGTTACTACCAGCTCATACAAATATAGACTGGTAACGAGAATTGGCCAAAAATGTCATGATATTTCTCTAAATATATTATATCCACTTTCATAATTTTGCTATAAAACAGTAAAAAATTACAAAATTAGTATACTATACAACATTATAATTAATACAAAATTATTTGTGCGATGTGCACAGAGTAGCAGTGCTCACTGCAATGCACTATAGGTACCAGGTAGGTACTAATTTTTAACCAATATATTTGTATTATTAATTATTTTTTGTTTTATCTCTACTTTTTCAAAGAAATTTGAAACGGTTTTTTGCATAAAGTGGAGGATTGAAAAACAAGAAAATATAAAAAATACAAAATAAATTACATATAACACAAAACTAGATATCATAAGAATGATTAAGAAAATGAAATGTAATAATAAAATTGAAACAAATCAGACACCCTTCATAGGTTTAGGTTTAGGACGTCACAAGACCATTTCTTTTTGAGTCTTCTTGATGAAGTCTGAGACGGCCCTCAGATAGTTTGCAGCCCTCGGATGGCTAAAATACGCTAAATATTTGTTGACTATTTTTTTGCAAGCACATTGCTAAATCTCGATACCTTAAGGTATATTTTTTAATACATTTATATAAAATTGGAATTATGATAGTCTTGTCAATAAGTACTATATATATATATATATATATATATATATATATATATATATATATACATGGTCTGTTCAAAAAGTACCCGGAATTACTAATAATTAAATTTCGCGGGTCTGGAGTGTCTGATTGTCAAAATTTTTTTTTATTGTGTTGGTATACATGCCCCTAAAGTATGATGAAATTTTCAGCTATATTCACTGTTTACTTTGTCTGTGGTAGTCGCTAAGGTTCGACGTGTTTTTCTGAGCTCGGCGATTTTTACAATGGAAGAATTGAAAAAGTCAAAGAATTTGTATTAAATTTTGCGTAAAAAATGAAATAAAGTGTTGCAAAGTGCAAAAATTCACCAGATATGGCTCCGTGTGACTTTTTCCTATTCCCAAAGTTGAAGAGACCCATGAAAGGACGGCGGTTTTCCTCGATTGAAGAAAATCGCCGAGAGTGCTCAAGGACATATCAAAAAGTGAATATCAAGGGTGCTTCGAAAATTGGAAAAAACGCTGGCATAAGTGTATTATATCTGGGGGGGACTACTTTGAAGGGGACCACATTAATGTAGACGAATAAATAAATATTTTTTTGAAAAAACGAAAATTACGAAAACTTTTTGAACAGATCGTCTAGAGAAAGTTTGGATTTTCTTTAATGTTTTGTTTAATTTTCATTAGTACTATCTTATTATCGATATAAGATCTCCAGATAAATTTTGAATCCATGAGCATGCTTAAATATTTTATACCATAACAGAAAAAAATTGTGAAATTGTAAGGTTGAACATGCCAATTATTATGCAGTTTTAGAGAAACAATAATATTTTGGGATTAGTCAATATTACTTTTACATTAAAGATATATTTTTATAATTTATCAAAACTAAAAAAAAATAATATAAAAATGTTTGATAACCAAACTAGATATTTAAAGTATTCTTTCATCTCCAAACATATAATACTCAAAATTTTTGTACCTACTTTTAAGCTCGATATGATACAATGTAATCTAGTATGAAGAGCTCTTAATGTGCTGCAATAATTATTTTAAGTATTTGTTTAAAAGTATTTACTAGTGTTAGTCAACATGTTCATTAAATAAATAAATTAATTGTTTGTTTGGTTTAATGGTATAATTATTGAATTTAATATATATTTGTCATTAAGTTGTTTGGCATACATAAATATTCAGAAGAAATTAAACTTATCATTCAATTGGGTTTTCATAATCTGTTTTGTTAAATTTATGGCAGAAAATCTGCATATAGTATTATAATCTTTATAATAGTAACATTTTACTTTGTTTTTATTTTCTTCTATAATAGTAACATTTTACAAATAAAAATAAATTACACATTATTTTTTACACATACATACCGGTTAGCTTAGAAATAAATATAATAATTATAAGTATGTCTAAGGCTAAGACTTTTTTTCTTGTCTTCTTATCCAGATTGTACTTAAATGCAATAATTAAAAATAGCTGTACATAGTTTATACATTTTTAAGTTAACGACTTCCAGAAGCTGCAGGAGAAAATTATTATTTTTTCAGCAAATACGCAAATTTTGACGCCTATCAACAATATTATCAATTATTGTAGAACATTATATATACCTTCATTTATATTAATAAGATTAATTCATAAACACAATGAAATGAAAAAAATGTAAATATGAAAAAGGCTTAATAATCAATCGGAAGATCCACAGTCATATAAAATATTTTTTAAAATACAAGTGTCAAAAAGAATTCTTACTCATCACTATCAAACATGACTAATATTAAAAGTTGATATAAACTGATATCAATTTTGATTGATTTCTCTTGCACAATTTTTACTTGAATAGAGATTGCTAAAATGAAATGTTTACAACATGTTATTTCCTTATTATTATCTTATCTTAACATTATCAACGCTAATTATTTTGACTGCATTTTTTCTAAATGTTTTCTAAGAATGTTATTGATTGTTGAACAGGTGTGATGACACAAGTATGTTTATATTGATGAATTTTCCGATAACAAGTATCTCGACACAATTATTTTAACTGCACATCATCGATGTTGACATTCTGAAGCAATACATGAATATCACTGGTGCTGAGATTTGATAAGAATTAGTATATAAATACTAGATGAAACGGTCATTAAGCATCAAATTAATACAGGGAAGTTTGACGCTATATTAGCATTTTTTTAATTTTTAATAAAATTGGTTGTTTTTATTTTTATGATGTTTCTACCAATATTACTAATATTGGCAATTGCAGTGGTTAACTGTAAGTTCAGTTATTTTTTGTACACATATTTACTTGTTTACTCAGTTAAATTCTGCACAGATATAGAATGAATTCTGAAAATATTTTTAAAATATTTCCTATTTATACCATTTTGGTTAATTTAGGTGCCATTAGACCACATTTAAAAGATAGTCGGATAGTCGGAGGCTACGAAACAAGAATCGAAGACCATCCTCATCAAGTATCAATCATGCGTTATGGATGGCATTCGTGTGGTGGTTCCATAATAGGTGAAGAATGGATCTTAACAGCAGCTCATTGCACTGCGTATGTATAAAATCTATTTACATAAAATAAAAATTGTTGTAAAAATAAACCACGAAGACTTAGGTTATAATAATCTGATCTCTTCTAACTCTGCAAAAAAAACACACACAGAACAAAACAAAATGCAATAATATTTACATATTTTCAAATAGGTCAGTAAATCCAGGAGTCCTCTCAATCAGAGTCGGGAGCTCGTTCCGTGATCGAAATGGTACTGTAATCGATGTCGCAGAAATATTTGTTCATCCAAAATATAATGCAGAACATATCGATTATGACTATTCGTTACTTCGAATGGCAAAACCCATTAGACAGTCTATATCTACTAGAGCTATTATGCTGCCACAACAAGGAGAAAACTTCAAAGAAGGATTGCTGACCACCATAACTGGCTGGGGCACACTTTCAGTAAGTTTTTTTTTAAATTTTAATGACGTAAAATCAAAACTTACTTAATTAGAATATAGAAATCACTTAAAATAATAAGTGGCCTTTAGAAAGCGTCCATTCAAAAATGGTATGTTAATTATAATTATAATTATAATTATATTATATTAAATAATTATAATTATATTTATAGTATAATTATAATTAATTATGATTTCAGTATATTATTTGTAAGTGCCATAAATTCATAATTAAGATTGCACTTTAGATGTAGGGTTCGGCGGGGTCCAATTTGACTTTGAGCATTTAAATTGTGAAACCCAAACCAATTATATCACAACAAATAACACATTTCAAACAAACAACTATCTGACTATGTTCAGTAGAACTCCCAGCTATAATTCACTATTGTAGAAATGTGTTTCATACTTTGTATTTATACCCCATAGACAGGGCAAATTGGAACGGCCAAGGGGTAAACAGGTCCAATGCCTTATTTTAATTTTAGAACGATTTTTACAAAATAATAGCTACATGATTCAACCAATGCAAAATATAAATTTTATTCTTCTTTTTTGTTTTTGAACAGCAATCAGAACCTTACGTCCTGTGAGCTGTTGGGCTGAAACTTCTCCTTACTTCGTATTTGTTAGATGGTAACCCAATGGTTAATCCATCCATATTTGATGATTTTTTGTTATTAGAATTAATCTGTGGCGATATCAAGCAGGCTGGTTTTGATTTGTAAAAAACAATCGGACATGTCATGTATATTTTTGATATCGAAATATTTTTATAGTTAATAAATTTATATTTTTTTATTGTTGGGAGTTTCTAATTTAATATATTGTCATAATCATCACAACTCCCACAAATCTAATAGGGCTGACATTTTATTGGTGTAGCAATGCCGGGCAAGGGCTATTTTCACTTGGAAACATATTGCTATCTATATTTTCAAGTAAAAATCGTTGTCACTGCTGCCTGACAACAGGCTGCTCGAAGGGGGCATCGAAACCGGGACCTCTGAAACAAGTCCCGTCGCTCTTAATCGCTTACCTACGGACGAGCCCATAAATTTCATGGGCGCATTTTGTACAGAGATAACAATGTAAATAATCTTGATGTATTTTGTCATCAGCGGAGTTGGAATAATTATTTATATATAATATCTCTTGTAAAATTGCTTTTTGTAACATGATTTATTTTCTTATTACCTATTTTTATTTTTCACGTCTTTGCCAGGACAAGGTTCAGTTGGTACATTTTACCCCACCCAGATGTAAGATTTTATAGAGGTTATATAAAAAACTGTTCAATCTATCTTAAAATTAACAATGCATTTTATAAAACAATTAAATAACGTTTACTTAAACATTATATTAAAGTCTCGCGAACTAAAAAGCGGTGCTCACAACGTCACAACCAAAACAAATAACAACGAAAGACCGCTATAGATTTGCAAACATTGCCGTTTTTTCCCGATAGCAACAACGTAAGAATCAAGTCAAATCGGAGATCGCTGGTTATACATCTTTTTCCCTCTACTTTCAAATATTGTTGTTAAAAAATTCTTAACTTTACTAGTGTTTGAGTTTGGTGGTGGACCTTTTTACCCGGGGACCTTTAAGTCTCTATCAATAGTTATTAATACATCACCCTATCAATAGTTATTAATACATCACCCTATCAATAGTTAT